TCTTTTGTTAGGCTGAGCTATTTAGGGTTTTGGCCTGATCCGAGACATGCAGGTCCCAAGCTCCAATTCCATTTTCTTGAGGCTCTTTTCTTCGGCTATCGTTGGGTAAGTGTGGGCATAATGCTATTTGCTTCTGATTCAAAATTTATTTTTAAATCGAACTTAACCAAATTTAATTCTGAAACTATAATAAATCGAACTGCAAAACTATGAAACCAAATTGTTTAAACTTTTAACATATACAAACAAAATTCAGTAAAAAAATTAGTTTTTAAATTTGAACAAAAATAAATAAATAAGTAAAAAAATTTATTTTACTTTACATAAATCAATATGTTGTATCTTGATTTGTCTGTGAATTACACTCAAGAAATAGAATATAATACAGAGAGAGAGAAGCAGAGAGAGAAATGCATAGTAATGAACAATAATTTGAATTCTTACTTGACCCTTTCTTAGGAAATGATCTCATTATTTATAGATGTTTGGGGTAAAATATATGAAATTACAAAATTGTCTCTGTTTTAATGGATGTGTTACGTGATTTTTTTAGTATTTTACATGTGTATAGGTTTTCGCCTCGTTTATCTTATTATTTGTTCGGTTGAAATCAGTTAAGATTGGTAAAACTAGTTTGTTCGATTATGTTGAATTGGGGCTGCCGATTGACATTTGATAGTCTTCGGGCCGACTATTGATCCCTCAATGAGGAATTTCTGTCGATAGGGAAGGCTACTCATCGGGTAGATGGTGAATCACCGTAATTTATTAGGTAGATCACTTCTTGAGAGGAGATCCTTTGGGATGTTCTGTTGATTGCGTTATGGCTAGTTCTCGGTCCCTGATGAGGAATCTCAAGAGTGTCTATGAGATGACTGACGTTGATCAACTCTTAAAGTCTTATTTCTTATTGACCTTGGTCCTTGGTTCAAATGATTTGCATTTGGTCAAACCTCTAGCCCCTATTTAGGGAAAAATTATTCCATGCGGACGGCGTATGCAAAAATGCATGCGTTGTCCGATCTCCACAGTTGATCAGAGCAAAGTTGTATTTCGGTGGACCCATTTTTTTTAAATTTGATGGATGATCAACGGTGGAGATCAAACGGCGCAAGCATTTCTGCATACGCTGTCCGTATAGAATAATTTTTCCTATTTAGGAGGGTTGCACTTAGTCAAGTAGGTTATTAATTTAGTGCTTTAATGACCCTTTGGTATCTGCTTGTGGGTCCTTTGTCATCTGCCTGCAGGCCCTCTTTAGTCCTACTTGTTCTTTTATTTGCTAAATTTCATCAAGATTCATGGAAACACTTCTCTGATATATACACAACATAAGAAGATAGTCATAGATATATGTTTTTATTTGTGCTTATATTTTAAATGCTATCTTTGTAGACAGTTGATTGTTTCTCTATTTTTGAATCAATAAATAAAAATACCTATAAATAATTTATTTTTCTTGTAATTATATGTAAAGCTATATTAGGAGAAGATGACTATTTTATAATGTTGACATTTAAATGATGGATTATTTTACTTTTGCTTCAAATATGGTAAATGATATTTATAAACATAAAATTATATATTTTTAGCATTGTAGTGTTTTGATGATGTTATAATTTAGTAAGTTTTGGGCGTGTTAAATTTGTCTTGTTGAGATACATGTTTCGATTATAAGTCTATTAAGCATGGAATTTAGATGATCATAAAATTAATTATGAATAGTTTCATTTCAAGTTTGGATGCTTTGAAGTTTAAAATTTTGATAAAAAAATGTATTTGAATGATCAATTTTGTAGGGGCATAATATTTAATGAAAGTATGCATAGAATTGGTTTTATTAATTTGATTTTAAAATGTTTGTTTTGATTAATTTGTGGGAAATTAGGTGTTAAATTTGTTTAGTATTAGAATATTTGTGGCAAAAGAGAAAAGGGAGTTTTATGTATTTTTCTTTGATTGAACATTTAATACACATATCATTAAAGCATAGTTGCAAGAACGTTAAAATTTTTATATGAAAAGTAAAGAATTAGAAAAAATCATTGGGCTAGCATAATCAAAATGATCCATCGTACGGAGATTATATTAATATGATTTTTCTCTAAATTAAAGATATATGAATTATAGGTAGGAGCGCTACCTTCTAGATTTGTTGTAATTATTGAAGAATTAGTAGAGTATGATGACATTCAAGTGTAATCAATTATTACGAGATGGTTATGTGACGTCATTTATGTATTAGCTGTCGTGTGACAATGATTGAGAAATGACAGTCAAATAAAAATAGTTGCTTGTAGTGATATTCAAACATGCTCTTTAAGTTCTCTATAGTCTTAGATCCCTTTCATTTTAATAATAAGATGCTAATTATAATTTTCTTGTGATGATATTTTAAAATTTTAAGCTATAATCTAAAAAAAGTATGAGACAGGCTATAATGATTTTTTAATCATAGATTATTTTTTTTTTATATTTAAGTGTTTTAATAATGTCAAATTTAAGTGATCATGAGATTATCAGATTTTTATTATTGAGACTTCTTTTGACCATACACATAAATTTTGGGGATTGTTTGGCTACTCAAGTAATATCATGAAGTTCTCAAATGTACTTCAAGTGTTTAATATTGGCCTTTCTGGACCACATTTGTTTTTGTTCCACTCATCTTATCTAAACATTCATATCGGTAATAAAATTATTGAGATCAAACATGAGATTGTCATAAAATTAATTTAAATTTTTTAATTAACTAATTGTTTGTGAATTCATGCTTGATAAGAGAATATTTTGTGAACCATCAATTCTTAGAAGATCCTCAATGCCACTGGCGCTTTGATGTGTTCTTGCTAGAGCAAGACTTGAGCTCAAACAAGGGAAGTATCCTTCGATTAGATACAAATTCCTTCAAGAAGAAAAAAGAAGGGTAAAACTAAAGTATTCTCATATTCTCTTTAAGAATCAAGTTACAATGGTTTTTATAGCTTCCTATTGCTTATGTTATTCTATTGATAATCTAATACAAAGATGCTTAAAATATTATTGAATACTATCATTCTTAATGGTGCCCATACAACTTTTATTATACATAATTATTTATCCATACCGATCTGCACTCTTTTTTTCTGATTTATGCTTCTTGATTTTTTTTTCTCTTTAGTTTGTGCGCAATCATCGACTTCTCCTTATTATTTAACCATATATTTAGCTTTTACAATTTCTAGGTTAAAAATTATGAGTGAGTTCCTAACATCCACACTATCATTAGAAATAACCTTGTATGCAAGCTTGGCGGAAGGATACGATTTACTTGAGTATGAAAAATTGGCGCAAATGGCTTCTTCATTCGATGTACTGACCATTTAATTAAGACTTGTGGTCTTTTACTACATTTTTTGTGAAGATACTTTGAAGCTAAAATGGATTCCGACCGATTGAGGGGTTGATTTGGAAGCTAAGAAATGACAATTCTCCCTCTTTTATTGGTACGTCTCCTTTAGAAGGTTTGAAAACTAAGATGTGAAACACTAGATGAGCCAAACGATATGCCGAAGCATCTTAGTTGAAGGGGAAAAAAGAGCCAAAATTTTCTTGGCTAACTTCTTTTTGCGTTTGTTGGTAAGTGAAATTTGGTAACATTGTCATAGTCTCAGCATATCCCAATAACATTACACAAATATCATGTCTCGTCTATGATGATCAACCGTTATTTGCATTCTTTGTTGTGCTTTTTTATAAGTTCTGTTGAAGCATCTTTAAAAATGTATTTGTAAGGGCCACTTCCAAGTTTTCAATTGATGAGCTATCATGTATATAAGAAGGGATAGTGATAGGTGATCAACCATATAGAACTTGATAGAGATTCATTTGTACTGCTGAATGATAACAGGTGTTGTAACATATGCTCAAATTAAAAGTCTAGGCTGATATGACATATTATAGTGAAAAGTTGTTAGTTGTTAGGATCTATTTCTTGATGATAGATTCAATACCCTAGAGATATTGTCTTCACTTATAAAATTTTTTTTGTGATGGAAAAGATTTATCTCAGGTATGTTAAACTGGTACACATCCTGATTCCTAAAATTAGATGCCCTTCTTGCATTAAAATTACTCATATGCAACTATTTTATGCATTGTTTCATTGACACATCTTTTTGCAAAGTTTGTTCATGCTAATATCGATGTTGTTATCATAGCAATTTCAAAGTTTGGAAGGTTGTTTCAGCTGGCATATCCCAAAAAGTTTATCTTGATTTTAATAGGTTTGTAGGGTGCTGCCAAGAAATTGTAGTTTGTAAAATAAACCATGTGTTGTATCCAAAGAGATCCAAAAATTAACGTAATTATTTAGTATTTTGTGGAGTATGTCATGATTTTATTTGGACCAGCTTTGATATCATTGTGCTAATAATTGATGTGCATGTAAAATTTTACAAAGGTATTTTTAAATGATGAAAGTGGATGGATAAATTAGCATTGTGTACTAGAATATCATCAAAGAATATGATAGCAATTTTTCTAAGATAAGAACAATACACTTGATTCATTAGAGCTTGGAAGGTTGATGGGGCATTCGTAAGCCCAAACAATTTACTAAAATTTTAAATAGAATTGTGGTGGCGGTCACCCATTTTAACAGTTCAGGTTGACAAAAATAGTTTTCTGCAACAGAAATTTCTAAAAAATAAAAAGAAATCAGTTTCCCAAATATCTGTTGTGGCGGTCTGAAAATCAAAGCAAGTGGAAAGCGTAGACTAAAAAAAGATAAACTAATTTCAAGTATTGTGTGATAAAATATATAGAATAAGAGCATTTACATGCATACAACACGATTCCTATATAATTACATATCTAATATCTAATTTTATAGATTTATATATATAATTCAAATCTTTTATATCAAATAAAAATATCACTATTAAATATGCATAGATTTCTTTTGGTAAAAAGTAATAAATATAAATATATAATTTCAGATATTAGATATTTAAATTCATTTATATTTGTTCTTCCTGTGTAAATTTTCCAATAATCAAATCATTGAATTTGTATAACCGAGCAAGGAGGCTACGTTGGTTTTTCATTATAAAGATGCACATATTTACCATTTAACTCTTATATATTCAAATCTTTTAGCATCTAAACTTCAATTTTTGCAAATCTTACCCAAAAATTAAAATATGTATTTTAATTTTAAAAGTTAAAATAGTTATATTTTGATCTGATATAAAATAATATAATATAAAAAAATAAAGTTTAGATGTTGGGAATACATAAGAAATGGGCGGTATGTATGTAAAATGAGCTACTACGAAACCCTCATCGATCTCATCTTGTCTGCCAAATTATGAGCTCGAGTACAAGTTGAGCTCAAGCTCTACTCGTAATGGTAAAATCCAACTCCTGAGCCAAAACAAAAAAAAAAAGACCCTCATCAATCTCAACTTGTCTGCCAAATTATGAGCTCGAGCACAAGTTAAGCTCAAGCTCTACTCGTAACGGTAACATACAACTCGTGAGCTAGAACAAAAAAAACAAAAAAAACAAAAAAAACAAAAAAAGAAAAAAAAAATCAACTTTTACATGAGCTCACCCAAGAAAGTACCAATGGTCGAATAAAGAGAATACAACGACAACTCACCAAAAAATAGATCGAAGTGACTAGAGATAGCTAATCAAGCCAACTCGCGAGCCAATGAGCCGAGCTGGGATGAGCTTGAGCTCCTTTAATAAAAAAGCTCAAGTTTGATCTTGAGCTCGATAAGCTCCTCTTATGAGCTCGTAAATGAATCGAGCTTGAGCCGGCTCGGCTCATTTTCATCCCTTTGGTATTCATGTAAATCCTTCTTTATATAGGGTTAAGGGAAGCATTCTTTCCATGAATCCTGGGCCTTCTAATATTAAGTTTATTAGGTAGGTGTTTTGGATTCTCATAGTTTGACTCAGTGAAGGACAATAATGATAGCTCTCTCTGCATTATTCATGGCTTCCATTAGCATCATCTTTCAACATAAAAAAAAAACTGCTCCAAATTATGACAAAAAATATGATGACATACATACCACACAATTCTTATAAATTAGCATATCAAACTTCTAAAATTTCATATTTAGATGCATAACTACTAACTTTTAAAAGTTTCATGCATAACTCAAATATTTAGCATCACATGAGAAAATACCATAACTACTAACTTTTAAAAGTTTCATGCATAGATTTAGGAGAGCCAAAGTGTTATAAATGTAAATTTTAAACTTAGCTATTAGATATATAAACACATAAAAATTGTGGGGCATGTATGTAAATTTCCCAAAAAAAAAGGTCATTTACATACATATCACACAATCCTTATATCTTTAGATGCCTAACATCTAAACTTTCATATTTGCATGCATAACCCTCAAATGTTTGACATCAAATTTTTCTTAAAAGTGAAAAGCTCTTTTTTTTGCACAGATTTCTAACACCGTGTTCTAAATGTAAAAATCGAACTTTAAGTGCTAGATATGTAAATACATAAGAATTGTGTGGTATGCACGTAAAATATCCCAAAAATAAAATGAAGAGCAAATGAAATAAAATAAGGAAAAATATAGAAGCAGATTAATTCCGGAAGGCTCCAATGTATGTTTCATGTGCGACCATGAAAGAGTAGAAATAAAACCAATAAAAAAGGCACAGGCATGCATATAAATAGCCATGATGAGCAGAAAAAAAATAACAGCTCACTTATGAAACTAACCCTAACCCTAATCCTAACCCAACCATAATCTCTTCCCTAACACCTGTTCGAAGATACAAAAGAGAAAACTATTTTGAATGAACACAACTGGGATGTCAAGATTGGCGCAGTCAGGGTTGATGAAATTGTCCAGAATCTGTACAGGATGATCTGGATGGAAGACGGCTAACTTCCGGATGGGCTGCGTGCGGGCGCGGCTATTCAGATATTTGAATCTGCCTCGATTATAAGGAAACATTAAAGAAATTTGTTAGAGGTGAGGAAAAGAAGCATGAGATAGGTTTTTTAATAATTGAATTTGTTTTGAGATTAGTACAATACAAAAGTTGATTGATTTATCAACGTATGAGTTTAAAACCCAGATTGATCAAATAAACTTAAAAAGAAGGGGCATTTACATACATACCGCACATTTCGTATGAATTTATATATATCAAACACCTAGACATTCATATTTAGGTACATATCATTCAAATCATTAACAAAAATACAACCATCGTTGTATTTTTTAAAATGTTACAAGTGTAAATATCAAATTTTAAGTGTTAAATGTAAATACATATCCAGCACGAAAAATAATAATCCCTCTGCTAGAACAACGGATCCCCATAAATTTTTTTCCCATAATTTAGATTGCTCCACGTATGTCTCACCGTGCATTTTTGGATCCAAGCCAAACAATACTAGGGGTAATAAAATCTGAAAGTTTTCTTTCAACATTCCACTTATAAATTTCATGCATTATAATCTGATGTGAAGTTACTAACCTGTGAAAACATGGTTGATGTAGAACTCACAGGACACTGCGTAGTTCTTGAATGCATCCGATGCTGGTTCTGCATTTTCTTAAACTGTTGTAGCCGTGATTCAAAGTTGATGTCAATAAGAATTTTCTCTTGGTCATGGCTGACTTCAAGAATCTCTGTATCCCGTTTGAGTTGATCAATGATGGTGTGCGGAGGAATAGTTTTTAATCTAGTTTTTAATATCTTGAAGGCTGTGCTTTGCTGCATGAATAGACGAGAAACATTTGAATGCTATATGCAAGGCGACTGTCAGATAAAATTTCGACATAATGAAATATTAATGATAATGTCATGTCAAAATGCAAATTAGCGACACTGAAGAATAAATGTTGGTGTCACTTATTGCAAAATTTTTGTATTGCAATGAGCACAAGTGTAATCATCTTGAAGTGTCTGTAATTATGAGTTTGAAGGGTTTCTGCTACCACGTTAGTACATTGCTTTTACACTGCATTCCTTTTATCCGGCTTTACTTTTAGCAAACCAAACAACCCTTTAATGAATACAAAATTAATGTCGTTTTGTTTTCCTCTGCTTCTTTTTCTTTCTTATCTTGCCATTTCTCACATTTACTTTCAGTGTTTTTGGGTCAAGAATTATGGGTGCGTTCATAACACACTTCAAATACAATTATTTATTTATTCCTCTTTTGGTTGCTAGAAATTATTTTTAAAAATAAAGATTTTGTTTCATTTATCTTATGAATGAAAAAAAAAAAATCTAGTTATTCAAAAGATGTTTGTGAAGCTTAAAGTCAATATATAATTTGTAATTATGCCCAATCAAATAATAAAATTTAATAAATTCTTCTCTTTTTAAATTGTATTTTGTAATTTAAAGCAAATAAATGAGTTAAGCCCTAAATAACTCGCACATTTTTCATCAATAAAAAGTTTATTAGAACTAACTTGTTTTTAATTAACTGAACAAAAAAATGATTGAAATGAATGTATATTTATAATTCAGTGAAAAAAGAAAAATCCGTTTGGAGTGGCATACTGTGATATATCTATGGGAACACTTTGAAGTTGTTTGGTTCAATATAAAATAAATGTATGACTTCACATTTTCTTGTTTGGTTTGAAAAAAAATAAAATCAATGTAAACTATATGGTCGGCGTGCGGAGGTAGTAATGCTAGTCATCGACTAGAGATAGTCGGCAGCCGCCAGGAGGTGAATGGAAGCCGGCAGGAGGCGACAGAGAAGCGATGAAAGCAATTGGAGGGGCAAACGGAGCCACTTTACATAACACGACATGAATGTATATTTATAATTCAGTGAAAAGCTGTAAAGAAAAATCCGTTTGGAGTGGCATACTGTGATATATCAATGGGAACACTTTGAAGTTGTTTGGTTTAATATAAAATAAATGTATGACTTCACATTTTCTTGTTTGGTTTGAAAAAAAATAAAATCAATGTAAACTACATGGTCGGCGTGCGGAGGTAGTAATGCTAGTCATCAACTAGAGATAGTCGGCAGCCACCAGGAGGTGAATGGAAGCCGACAAGAGGCGACAGAGAAGCAATGACAGCAATTGGAGGAGGGGCAAACGGAGCCACTTTACATAACACGACATATTTAAAATTTTTCCAAATCTAATAAATTCCAAATACTCAAAAAAATGAACCAGAGAATGAATTATAAATATATTATAATTTTACATTTCATTTGAAATTCATCTGACCAAACGCTAAAACTTCTGAAACTACATAATGACTACAGTGCAGTCCTTGTGTGGCAAATCAAATCACGCATAAATTAATTGTTATAATTCATGAAAAGTTGTAAAGAAAAATCAGTTTGGAGTGGCATACTGTGATATATCTATGGGAACACTTTGAAGTTGTTTGGTTCAATATAAAATAAATGTATGGCTTCACATTTTCTTGTTTGGTTTGAAAAAAAATAAAATCAATGTAAACTACATGGTCGGCATGCGGAGGTAGTAATGCTAGTCAGCGACTAGAGATAGGCGGCAGCCGGCAGGAGGTGAATGGCGGCCGGCAGGAGGCAACAGAGAAGCGATGACAACAACTGGAGGAGGGGCCAACGGAGCCACTTTACATAACACGACATATTTAAAATTTTTCCAAATCTATACGAATTCCAAATACTCAAAAAAAAAACTAGAGAATTAATTATAAATATATTATAATTTTACATTTCATTTGAAATTCATCCGACCAAATGCTAAAACTTCTGAAACTACATAATGACTACAGTGCAGTCCTTGAGTGGCAAATCAAATCACCCATAAATTAATTGTTATTTAAATTATAATTTTTAATAAATTATTTTTTGGGAAGATTCTATTTTAATAGAACTGCATAAATCATCTAAAAAGTGGGATAGATTAAAAAAAATGAACAAGAATGATCTAAAAAACAATTCCTATCGCTAGTATCGAATCAATTTCTACATGCAACAAAACACAAATGTTTCTAATATCGATAGTATTCTATTTTTCTTGAGTATCATCTTTCCCTGTATATATATTTATATATAGATAGATAGATATATAGATATATGATAATCAAACTTATCCCACAACTTAATTCGTCTTCATGAATCCCCAATTTTTATTGTTTCTAATTAGTGCTATCTAAAGTGTAAAACTTATTCATTGCATATCATCCTGAATAACTTTTTATCCATGTAATTTTGTAGCTATTTATTGCCTTCCTTACCATCTGATGCTATAGAAATGTCAAACGACACATTTTCTGTCCTTTACTTTACATGTCCAAAACCCAAGTTTAATTACAATTTTAATAACTTCTTAAAAACCTGACAAAGATACTCATATAACATTGCTAGTATAGTTGGCATTTTATAAAACTTACCTTTAAGCCTTCATAATATCATGTTAGCGCACAAAAATCACTGAAAAAACTAATCCATTCTAACTATCCGATCTTAATTTTAAAAAAAAATCTTCATTGATATTGATATTACTCTATATAATAAATTCAAGATACTTAAAAGCTATCACACAAAGTATCACCTTATCTTGTAATAATATTGAATCATAATTATTAACATAATGCTCTTTAAAACTATTTATCATACAATTAGCCTTTGTCCTACCAATTCTAAATCGTCAATCTTCTAAACATTATCTCGAATATGGATCTCACCAATTAGAATTATATCATTTGTTTAAAGCACACACTAAAACACCTCGCAATAAATATCATTTATTACATCCCTCATAAAGTAATATAAAAAATAGACTCAATGGTTATCATTAATATAAACTCACAGCAACTAGAAACTCTTAGATCACTCCTGAACAATTCCTAATATTATTTAATGCTCCATCATGCACAGTTTTTACACCTTTTATCTTAAAGCACAATAAATCAATTCCTCTGAAACACAGCAAGTTTTGGTAATATAAAGATCATTTCTTTATTTCTTGTACTTTTCTATTAATTATCTCAACAATACTTCACTTTCATAATAGAATTCATGCATTAAATCAAATTGGTTCTCTAAAATTGATATTATATTCTAATACTACATGTCATCACGTGCTCAAAAAACTTCTTTCTATGACTGATAAATTTGATTTCGTTAAACTCAGCATAATCTTGAGCATCACTTTTTCAATTATTATGCTTCTCTTCACTTTTAAATGTGCATTTCTTTTTTATCTCAAAAAAATAAATTTAAGAATATGTGTTCATAGGGTTCTATAAAATTAAGTATAATTAACCTATTCCTAAGGACTAATCTTCTTATTCCATAAGTATCATCAATTCTCTCATAGCCTATCCTATTGGAACCTAAATGCCAATTTAAATCACTTATAATAACTACCATTTCTTCAAAAGGTATACATTACAACTGTACCATTTCTTCTAAAGATTTACTTTTCAAGTTCTCTTGTAATCTAACTCGAGCATAAGCACCATCCACGTCAATAATTTTTCTTTATAATAATTATTATAATAGCAATCACACTAACTCTAAATATATTAAAGTCAAAATGTTATCTTAATACTGCTAGTCAAACCTCATTTCTATTGTTAAACTTCCCATATTGTAACCTACAACATTTCTTAATATCCTTGGATTTTTCTCCTTTCCATTTAGTTCTTACAAACAATTAAAATTTGTTCTTATTCTTATTAGAGTGTCCACCAACTCTTATTTTTCCAATCAAATTTCACAAATTTCACAGGAAAATCTAGTATTAGATTTAATATAACCATTGCTTACTTTTCGATACAATTAAGTTTGAACTTGGAGAACTTAAGGGTGACTTGTTAGCCCATCCCGACTCAACTCTTCATCAAAATTGAATTAAGTTCTGATGCATTAAGGATGACGTCCTGGCCCACCCCAGCTTATTTAACGCCCAAATTGAGATATATTGGGGGGCACAGTTTCAATGAAAATGAAATTCAAAAATCAATTTCCTTTTCCAACATGACCCTTATGACTAGCCGCAAACCTGATATCAACCATCAATCTTCCTTATTTAAGCAAAAGATCGGCGAAGGGGATAATCAAAAATAAAATTCTATTAAATAATTACAAATGAAACAATAACAATAATAATAATAATAGTATAAATAAAACATCTCAAAAGTTTGCAGTGGAAAAGATTAGATATATGATATGACATACAAGTTTTATAATAATAAAAAGACTTTCAACTATAACATGTACGTTTAGACTCTTTTGCTTAATGAGTCGAATCGACACTTTTACACCACTATTCATTAGGGGCGTCAAAAAAGTATGTTGTTTGCGAACAGCTCATGTTCGACTCATTAAGTAGCTTGTGTTCGAATTGTTTGCTAGGTAAATGAGTTGGACACAAACAAATTTTTTAAGTTCGAATTAACGAACCAAACACAAAAAATCAATTGTTTTGTCGATCGTGTTTGACTCATTTTAGCTTGAATTAAAGAAATTATATATTATATTCATATAATAATATATTATATATATTTATATATAAGATTGAATCACTACAACTCATTTGTTTTAGTGGTGAGGGATTGCAAAAGAAAAATGTATAACATACACACTAAAAATTCTAATTCATTTTGTTAATGCATCGCAAATAAAACCGAAAATGAACAAATTTGAACAAAACATTCAATATTGAGCCGACAAAAACAAACTTCTTATGAGCCTAATTCGAACACGCGCTAATACAAACGAGCTGAACACAAACAGAGGCTCGCTCAAACTCAGCTTGTTTACAACCTTATTATTCATGCATGATATTTAAATCATTTACCATTAAATGCATGCATGCATTCATTCATACACGCATTTGTATGTACGGGCGCGCGCATGTTGTGTGATGGATATGATTTTTTTGGTGGATTCTTTTTAGAACATCAAGCATCATCTAAATGGTAGTATTGATATAAAATAGATCACTATTTGTGATTTATTCTGGATGAAGTTTGGAGCATCTTTTAAATTATATTCTAGATCGAATAAATCTATCAGTGATATAAAATTTTAAATGTTTACAATTAAAATAAATTTTTTGTTGCATTTTATATGAGTGGAATATCAAAATGCAATTAAGAGAAGCGTAGATTTACTTTGGGCAATTTGTGAAGAGTAATGTATAATTCCTTTGAGAAAGGCATTAGAATCTAAATACAAATTAAGTGCTTTCCCACATAATATTTCAGCAATGCAAAAAAACTCATCGCGTTATGTCCTTAAAGAGTCATAAAAAACCATTGAGAAAAACGAAAATGCATAATTACTGAGAAACCTGAGGCAGCAACTTCAAAAGTCCATAAAGTGTCGTCAACAGCCATGGATATCTACCCGGATCCAGAAGCTGCAAATAAAGAGAACTAAATTACATATGGGATGAATCGACTGCAATGAAGGCCCAATAGGAATCAATTGATGGAAATGACAATGATACATATATATAAATCAATGGCTATCAACTTCACAGGACTGTTAAATCAACACACCACATTTCACTGACTTATAACAGCATGAGATGGAAGAATGCATTGTCAGAAAATTATGGAGCAAGTACAAATAGAGTATTGCAACACATTCAAATAAATCTACATTAGAAATATTTGAGTTTCATTTTTTGGAAGGCCCAATAAAATGAGAAAAGAACATGCACTTTATTTGGGGAGAATTTAAAAGGTCCATCTAATCAAATGATGTTACATAAGCTTTTATAATTATTTACAATTTTTTTTTGGGATTATAGCTTTTCTCATTACAATATAGATGGCAAAACAAAAAAAAAATAGGTAAGTAAAAACAGTTGAAAAGAAAAAGTAACAAAACATAGTACTAATACTTGAAAATAGTGAACAAAGCGCCATAGTGCAAAGGTCCTCATGAAACCATAGCGCATATCATAACACATGCTATTTTAAACAATGCGTTAAATATTAGCAAAATACAAATAAAAGGGCACCATATTGAAACATTACATCAAGAAAAGGAAAAAAAAAGTGATGTTTAGATTCAAATGCCCAACATCTCAACCAATAAAAAAAAATGATGACAAAAATAAGAAAAAGTTTAGTGACATTTTCGAACGCTACTAGATTAAAAGATAACCATCAATGAGGAAAAAAAACCAAAGTGATGTTTAGATTCAAATGCACAACATCTCAACCAATTGAAAAAAATGACAAAAATATTTAGTGACATTTTCAGAACCTAAATCTCAAAAATAATTAAAAATTTTGATAAGGATACATTCAATAACAAATAATATTCTTTATCCTTCTAATCTAACAATTCATATAATATTTAACCCAAGTTTATGAATAAATTTCATGGCGATTGTTTTATGAACCAAAAAAAAAAAACATCATCCGAGTTTGCAAAAAAAACACAAAAAAATAAAACTTATTCATAAATATGCCAAAAATTATTAAGAGACTTACTTTACTCATCATCATAAATCACAAAATCACATAATAAAAAAAATAAGTAAATCCTAATCTTAAATAGCAATGTTAAGTTAAAGTACAAATTTTTAGAAGATATGTTCAACATATGTTCAAATTCTATTCAAAGATTTCAAACATAGATTGAACATGCGCGAACCATGTTCTGAACATGATTGAAAATTGTGGAATTATAGAATTGTCCTTCCTATTAATTGAAGACATTTTGGAAAACTCATTGATTAGTTTTATTCTCTTCCTATTTACATTTATTTCAAAATTATTTCCTTTCCATGTTTAGGCTAGAGATATTTAGTAAGATTATAAATTAGGAGGGACGGGTTACCTATATATGCAACCTTAGGGTTGAAGATTGAATAAAAAAAATTCTAAGAATTCTCACTCAAGTTTTTCTTCATAGTATCGAGCAGGTTTGGTTGGTCATGTCTAATTCGCTCGTCGGCATCGTTTGTGTCATCTGAATCTCTGCTTATCGTCTTTTGTGACATCCATGACTGACAGTCTGTTTCACCTTCATCTGCATTGTATGCATCCGCTTCATTCAGTTTCATTTGCATCTTCAATTTCGTTCAAAGGATTTGCTTGCTTTGAGCAATGCCTGCAATGCTTTGAACTGTCTTCATCGTTTGCATCCCGAGTCGTCTTTGACGTCATCATCTACATCTTCTAAGGAAGCTTTCATGTTACAAGGAAACAAACCTTAGCTCCCATTTAGCCCGCAGGCCCTCTGCTCACTCCTAAAACCTCCATAGCCTCTGCAACGGTCGTCTAGCAGTCATAACCATCCCTACAGCCGTATGAATCCCCCTAGACAGCTTGTAAGCCCTCCTATGCTCCTTATCTCAACTGTTGACTTTATTCGTACAACAAGCAACAATTAACTCCCTTATCCAACCCTAAACATGCATAGGGTTTATGACCAAGTACATAATAAAGACATCCAGTTATACTCCGGCGGTTAGTTCTAAATTAGAGACTAGAAATTCTATCCAAACAATTCTTGAAATCTCTTCCTTTATCTCAAAACATAAACTCAATATTCATAACTTTTTTCAATGGTCCCAATCAGTATTATGTACATTTGTCCAAACGGAAAAGAGGAACATCTCATAGAATAGGGCACAATTCCTTAGCTCACTCATCCTAACCATCGCACATGGAATATTCAAGACCATATGCTTATGTTTTGGTTGGTCAACCAATGCCTATTGAAGTTGGAAAAAAATACTTGCTCTACAAAACAGCCCAATAAATCTGTGAGGCTGCAAGAGAAACTTATTCCAGCACTAAGAATACAACAAAGTTGTTTGAGATCGAAACAAACTACATGATCTTCATCAATGAGAGTTGAGCGTCACCCAATATCTCAACATCTGACAAAGTATTGACTTTAATTGGATATGTTTGAGAAATATGCGTGGAAATATCCACTTGATGTAGTGATGTATAAATCTTTCATCAAGAAGAAGAGAACAATCAAATTCCTAGTAGGAAACCAAAGGATTAAATGAAATGAAATGAAGGACTATGGGAATAAAACCTATTTATCTACCCATAAAGCTTTTGCTGAAGTTAGAAGAGAAGAGAGTAGAAATAAGCTTATCATGACCGGAAATGGGAGTTCACCAAAACTAGAAGCTTAGCTCTGTACTCTCATAAGTCTTCCCCTAGCTCAAAGTTCAAGAAGAATCGTCCTACATGTGACTATTGCAAGAAAAATGGGAACCACAAAGATAAGTGTTGGAAACTCCATCAGAAACTAGTAGATTGGAAACCTTGAAAAGGAAAGAAAGATCAAATGATAAAGGCTAATCGTGTTACCACATTTAAAGCGTTGATTGACCCATTTACCAAGGAACATCTTAAAGTACTGAAAAAAAATCATTGAGGATGATTCAGAACAGCACACCAGCCTCGTGATATTCCAAGATAATATATCCTTCTCCCAACTTGCCAATAATGAGAGATTTAGGCCTTGGATCATAAGATACAGTGGCTTCTGAATATATGACAATAAACATCAATGCTCTAGTCAACTATCAAGATGCGCCCACCTTTGTTCAAGCGAACTGAACTTCCAATTGAAGCGAAGAACTGGTTGATAAGGATAGAAAATTTACTAGATAGCATGGTGTCTCTGGTCGAAAGAAGAGTGCATTGTTAGGCACTTATGTGCTCGATAAAGAGGCCGAAAGATGTTGGCATGGGTAATGTCAGGACAGGTTAGGGGACAAACCAAATATGATAATAAGTTGAGAAAATTTTGTTGATATTTTTAGAGAAAAGTTTATACCCCTATCCGCACAAAGACAAAAACAAGACAAGTTAGTCAAGTTGGTGCAAGGAGAAAAAAAACATGCAATACGAAACAAAATTCACTATGCTATCAAGATATGTGGCACAGTTGATAATCACTACAGAAGAAGAGTGTTACAGATTTCTTTCTGAATTGAAAGATTTGATCAGACAACCGTTGGTACTATTAGCAATTGATGGTTATTCACTGTTCGTTGAGCAGGCTAGGCGAGTGGAAATTAATTATCAACTCACTCAGAAGCGTAAAGACATGCACAAGAGGAAGAGTTTTATGAGAGCAAGTAAACTAATCAGAGAGGAAGAATCCCGAGTTCAATTCTGATAAATTAAGTAGTGGCACTTCTCGTAGTATCATAGTCACTTGTGTCAAATGTGGAAAACAACATAAAGGTGAATGTTTGATAACTCTAACACATGCTACTGATGCCATCAGCTTGGTCAGCAAGATATTGTCCATAGCTTAGCCAGAAGAACACTGAAGGCCAGAAATCATGTGGGCCTTTACAGAAAACTGTAGATGGACGGAGAAAAATAAAGTCAATAGCTTTTACTCCCACCCAAGATCAACCATGACAATCGGTTCGACCTCAAGTTTATACCCTTATTCATAATGAGCCTGAAAAACCTACTACTGTGGATGTTGAAGCAAATAGCATCTAATGAATACTATGTTCATTTTATGTTTTAGAGATGTCTTTATGATGTATTGTTGTTTTAGTGATTGTGTGTCATCTACAGTTGTTATAGTTGCTTTTAGTTACGTTTAAGTTGCTTTAATTATGATGTTATCGTTGTTATTTTATCTTACGACAAATAATGAGCGAGTCTAGTTGAGTTATCTTATATCAGTCTTTTGATTTATTGTATCCAAAGTTCATCTTAAGGATTGAGATATAGACTTCTTCATAAAAATTTATGAATAATTCATGGGTTATCTAAAATGAGAAGTGGCTTATGGGAAATTTTAAATTTCGAAGACGAAATTTTTATAAGTTTGGAAGATTGTAACGCCTCATAGTTAAGTGTTTCTGTCTCCTCGACAAATGAATAATAAAACGCGGGGGACACGAAAGAGAAGGAAATGAAGCAAGCATTTCAACCTTGTAAGGAGGAACAAAACCAACTTTCCCAAAAGAACGTCTTCGAAAGTCATAGAGGCAGGCAGAGGCCAGATCGAGAGAGAGAGAGAAGGCGTGTGAGGGTTTCAAACTTTTTGATTGAGGGATTTGGAAGGGCACCAGAAAGACAACACTAACGTTAAGGACTGTCTTTCGTAGATTGTTGGGTTGATAACTCTTACCTAAGGTTGGGAAGCACACAGTACAGCTCTGAGCCCCCACATTTACTGATGTCTTATACCTAGTCTTGGTCTTCCATATGCGACCGTAGATTTTGTTTTGTCTATTCGTATTTTTCTAAGACTCATTTTTTCTAACTTTCGGGCTGGGTTTTCTCGCTTTGCTTATTTTTCTTACAAGTTTATTTAAATCTGCTACAAATCATACTATACTTGCAATGTTAATCACGCAACAGTAGCACATGCCCAGGTATGCTTTTACAGTTTATTTACAAC